GTACGGCGGTACACGTGGCCATTCCGCCGCCACCTGTCACCCGTGGCGGTACGTGCACCCCGTGTACAAGCTGAATTCTAAATCCCCTAATCCCCTGCCTTTCCAGTATCGTCTGATCACCCCTACGGGATCTCCCTCCGGGTCGTTACGTTTACCGACACCGACCGGTACCCGTTCTCCCACACATACGCTTTGTGCTTTGTGTTCCATGGCGCTGTACCGACGATGATGGGATTGTTCCTTTGAGCTGTGTTTTTGTATACTATTGCCTTGTTTGGTGTGAATAATACGTTGCCGTGTAGTCTTGCGAGATCGTGCACGGAGATCACGGGGCGGCGGGGAGGCGGGGGCGCGCGTTGAGGTGGCGCGGGGAACGCGGGGGGAGGTGTAAGACATACAGTGCGGGACGCTGTAAATTTGGAAGGGACCCTGGAGGGGGGAGGAGGGGAGGAGGTCAAGGTGCGGTGGAGACGCATTGCATGAAAACACTTGATCACAGGGTATCATACGTAGAGGCATATCCGAATGCATACGCTACCTTCGACTGTACAAGTACTGTAAGGGTACTGTAGTTATATGGCGACGGAGTGCAATGGCGCGCCAGATGGCGGGTGCGCGGCAGTACAGTATGTTTGCGACGGCTCTCTGCGTCTGTAAAGTTTACAGTGTAAACCGAGGTTCTGCTGTAAGCTTGTCGTCTGTAAACCGAAGTGTAAACCGAGGTTTACAGACTTGCACAAGCTTGCGCCCCCGCTCCCCTTCATCCAGTCTAATGCAACCGATCATGAGTACCTTCACTTCGCCTCTTGCTTCCTCGATGCCATCCCTATGCGCCCACCGCCCCTGCCTTATACGTTCCTGCTCATATCCGCCGTCCTTGCCCGCCATCCCTCCCCTTATTACCCACAGAGCACACACCAGCCGCCACCGCCCGACAATACAATACAATACACGGGGTACAGCTGTACAACAGCTGCTGGGCGTTACACCTCGCCGCCGGCGTCCTCCTCCCGCGCCCCACGTCCTCCTCCTGTCCTGGACGAAAAGGAATCCATCCGCTGCAAAAAGTTGTTGCTTCCATGAGGCAGCTGTCCTACGGCATTCCAGGTGACACTGTGGATGAGTACTGTAG